TAGCTTTGGGGCCCTTGGTGGTTTCTGAGCTTGGTTGTTTTCTGGCTGATGTTTCATGACTCAACTAGGTAACATCATCAGTGGTAGAGGAGGAGGAGGACTGCATGGTCCTTAGTGCTGTCTGAACTTGTCTGTTTCCTGGCTGACGTTTCATGACCAAACTAGGGAACATCACCAGTGCTGGAAGGAGGGGAATTTGAAGGACAAGGAGGAGGAGGAGGTGGTGGTGGTGGAGGAGGAGGAGGAGGAAGCAGGAGGCAGGAGATTGGGAGGAGGAAAAGGACCGTGGAGTCCTTTGTGCTCTCTCAGCTTGGTGGTTTTTCTGAGACGTTTCATGACCCAACTAGGGAACATCATCAGTGTGAGGAAGAGGAGGAGGAGGAGGAGGAGGAGGAGGAGGAGGAGGAGGAGGAGGAGGACTGCGTGGTCCTTGGTGCTCTCTGAGCTTGGCTGTTTTCATTCATGTAAGTAGCCTGATCAGTGGCAGAAGGAAGTTTTGCTCTCTATTTATCATCCCTTCTATAGCAATACAACAGCACTTAGACTTATATACCGCTTCACAGGGCTTCGCAGCCCTCTCTGAGCGGTTTACAGAGTCAGCTTCTTGCCCTCAACAATCTGGGTCCTCATTTTATGGAAGGACGGAAGGACGAGTCCACCTTGAGCCCGTCAGGAACAAACTCCAGGAGGTGGGCAGAGTCAGCCTGCCATCCTGCCTCCTGGACACTGGCGCCAGCAGGGCTCCTTCTAGCATTGAGGGTATTACCTAGCTGGGCAATTACCTGTCTCCCATCTTTTCTTTTCAGCCCACCCTGGCTCAGGGCAGGGGTTGAATCGCAGGCTGCCCTCACTTGTTCAACCGACCCTGGATGGGAAGGGGCTGATGCCAAGATTGTGGTCTGCCCCTTCCCATCATTGAATTCAGACGGGTGGCAGTTGGGGGGAAACAGCCATGCCACGGACCCTCCCTCCCTCCCTCCCCTTCATTTCTTGCCATGCTTTGCAGGCTTGGAAAAGGGGAGCAAGGCTTGAGGGGGGGGAATCCCCTCTTTTGCCCACCCTCCCACCCCAGCTGCGCAGCTTCCCCCCTCGCGGAAGGGAACCCCGACGGCTCCCAGGCGCCCCGACGACAGGCGAAAGATGCGAATCTCCCGCCGCGCAACTCCCCCGCCCTGCCGCCGGCGCCTTTCCCTCTCCGGGAGTGGGGTAGGGGCGTCGATCGAGGACACCCCCCGGCCGCTGGGCCAGGCAACCTTAGGGCGAGGGTCTCGCCATCCTTAGGGCGTAGGGAAGGGGAGAGCCTGGCTCCCCGGGGGCCCCGCAAACTCTCCGGCGCCCCGCAAACGCCACTTGCTCGTCCGTCTCTCCGCCGATGCTCTTCGTCGGGGGGTGTTTGGGGGGGGGAGAGGGGTCGGCGCAAGCCCCTCTGCGATCCCCGGTCCCTGCGGATTTCACCCGGACCCCCTCCGTGCCTTTCTCCCCTAGCATCTTCTTCCTCCTTCCTCCCTCTCTCTTCCCTTTCCCTCTAATCCTCCCTCCCTCCCTTTCTTTCCCTCTCTCCTTCCCGCTCTCTCTCCTTCCTTCCTTCCCTCCCTCCCTTTCCTTCCATCTCTCCTTCCCTCTCCTTCTTTCCTTCCCTCCCTCCCCTCCCTCTCTTTCTCCCTCTCTCCGTTTCCTTCCTTCCTTCCCTCCCCTCCCCTCCCTCCCTCTCCTTCCATCTCTCCTTCCCTCTCGTTCTTTCCTTCCTTCCCTCCCTCCCTCCTCTCCCTCCCTCTCTTTCTCTCTCCCTCCGTTTCCTTCCTTCCTTCCTTCCCTCCCCTCCCTCCCTTCCTTCCCCTCCCTCCCTCTCTTTCTCCCTCCCTCCGTTTCCCTTCCTTCCTTCCTTCCTTCCTTCCCGCTCTCTCTCTCCTTCCTTCCTTCCTCCCTCCCTCCCTCCCTCCCTGCCTCCCGTCTCCCACCTTTACCAGCGACCGCGGCTGGGTCTGCCTCCTTCCCGCAGCGGGGCAGGGTCTTCCTCGGCCGGGGGAGCGGCCACGGGACTTGCCGCTCGGACCGCGGCTGGGCTGCGTGACGCCGCTGGCGGGCCTTTCTGCAGAGCTGGGCGGGCGGGCGGGCAAGCGCTGGCGGGCGGGCTGGCTGGCTGGCTGGGCGG